GATCCACTCAAAAGCAGCCTTTGGGTTGCTTTCAGTCACTTCCGCGTTCCTGACTTTCTCTGCTTGTTTTGTGTGGTTAATCCCAAATCCTGCTCGAGCTGGGCATTAGCGCCAGCTGCCTCATGGGGGTAGATGTGCTGTTGAATGTGCTGCTCTGAAGTGTCCTCTTGGCCTCCTCCTGCCAGTACCCATGGGGATGTCAGGACTCGAGGTGGCTCAGGGATGCAGAGATGTTCCCCTTCTCCTGCCGCACATGCGTAAACCTTCCCAAACCATCTCAGCACAGCGCGGGGTTTTGGGTGCACACTAGAAAAACACCCCTCTAGCCAACACCAAGAAAGTCATGGTCCAGCCTGTCTCATAAGTAACATCATTTTAAACCCTTATACCCTACCTATTGAAAGTTGCACTTACTATCCAGGTAAAGATCCCCTGGGAAAAGGGAACGTGCTGAAAAAACCCCAAGTGACTCGAGCCAGATGCTGGGCGTTTTCTCCAAAGCTAGCCATTCGTGATTTGCTGCTGACAGCATGAACTGGTGTTAAGTTATTAAATTGCAGATGAGCTCATCACTTGGCCTTGAACAAGTTTCAGCTTTGAGTGGCTTTAAAATATTACATGTGGTGGAAAAAAGACAATGCTGGTGTGGCAGAGAGATTTAGGGAGCAGCTGAGAAAGACATCTGTGCATTAAAAAATGCGTACCAGGAGGGAGGAAGGAATACTTCGTGTGAAAAATGTAAGCTCTCTCAGGAGAGAGGAGGAGAAATTCTCCGATTTATTGGTTCTACATTTTAATTTTAGCTTAAGAGAAAATTATCAGACTTCTGAGATGCTTAAAGGGAAGTGGGAAGATGCTAAGCCTGGTTTGATCCTCAAAGATCCCAGCTGTCGAGAGCTGCGTGTGCAGGATTACTTCTACCAGGCCCCAAAACCAGCTCCTTCGGTAGTGCGTGGTGTTTGCCAGTGATGCCATGTGACCGTGGGCCAAATCCAGCTTTTACTTGATGTTTTCTTAATCCCAATGTTGAACTCTACCAGACTGGGGAGGTAACATCCGCACTGCTTGTTAGGAGAGGTGTTTCTCTCCCTGAAAGAGTGGGAGTTTACTTTGAGGATCTTCCTGCCCTACATTCTCTGCGCAATATCTATTTCTCCCTTTTTTTCCTCTTGCAAAGGAGCCCAAGTTCCTGAACCCATCCGGTTCTGCGCAGCCGCCCGTGGATCTATGTGGTGCTGAAATACGTGAGGAGAAAGACGGTGTTGAACAAAGGAATTAGTTTTTCCAGCCTAATTAAACCCAACCGTGCCGGAGCCGCCTTGGTGGGCTGGCCTGGCCGCCACAGTGCTGCTCCTGGGGAGCACAGCGCACGCCCTCATCTTAGCTCTAGATCTCGATGCTGAGATGAATTCATTTTTTTTTAAGTGCCAACTTGGCAGAAGCCATGGGATAGATCATAAATCAGTTCAGCCTCTTTATTTTTCAAACTGGGTATGTTTGCAATCAGTAGGTGCATTGGCCGGTTGGGTTTCGTGGCCGGTTGGATTTATTGTTTTGGGGCTTTTTTGGTGCTCCCGGCAAGGGAGAACAGCTCCAGACACGTGGTTTTTTAACTGCCTCAGCTCTTTTTACCAAATGGCGTGTTTGCAGTCAAAGCGTCAGGAAAGCTGGTGTTAACTCAGTCAGTGCTGCGGTGATGCCCCTAAAAATAACAAGGAAACCACTATGCTGAAGACTTGCTGTAATTGCACCCTCTGACTGCTACAGCCAGTGTCTTAAGATGGAATAGATTTTTCTTTTTTTTTTAAGTGAAGATGATAATTTTCAGCCTGTCTGAAGTCACAGAGCATCAGCACGTACAAACAATGTGCTTTCCCACATGGTTCATTGGGGCCGGAGCACCTCTGAGCTCAGGACAGGCTCCAATTTATTGCAGGGTGCCAAGGTGTTATTGGCTTGGATGTGCGGTAGTAAAACACCAGGGGCAGGAGAAAGGGAACTTTTTCTTGTGAATTATTAACAAATGGCATGTGTGGCTGTCAATAGTGAGCTACAGACTGCTACCCTGGGCTTGGGGACATCAGCCGGGGGACAGTTGTCTCAGGGTTTTTAACGCACACCTAAGCTGATCGAACTGCAAAGTGATGCCAGGATTTAGGGGACAGTCCCCACCCTCAGCCACATGTTTCTGTCCCCATCTGTGCCCTGGGTCTGACAGGAATCATGAATTTCTGATAGTTGAAGCTCCTGAATTGTATTTCTATTTCTCTGCCTGGTCTTTATCCATGTGTACATGTACAAAGGGAGGTTACTCAGGTCTGTGATTATCTTTTTTTTTTTTTAAGACCATGTAAAGCTGCTTTCTTACTGCTGTGTTGATTTTTTTTATTTCCTACAACAGCAGCTATATCCAACCCTACTGCACTTCTACTTGTTTGGGCAAAAACTGCATTTATACTGCGAGGGCTGGGAGCTGCAGTGCTTTGGCTGTAGCACAGGTTTGAGATGGACTCCTTTCTCACACCTGCTGAGCTGCTCTGCTCAGCTCTGTAAGGGAGATAATGCCTCTATGCCATGCCTTCCTTTTAAATGCATCACTTCTAAATGTAAGGACTTGTGGCTGTGGGTGATAAGTGCCATTTGCATTTGTGAGATGCTCTAATGTCCTCACATGACATGTTCTGCAGAAGTGCAAAATGTTCAATAAATAACAAGTTATTAGTCGAAACTATAAATAAAAAGAGAGTCAGGAAGGACTGCTTTTTGCAAGGTGATGGTGAATAAGATTGTCCCAACCCTGTGCTGTGTGCCTGACGCTTTTCAATTATTTTTTTTTTTTTTAATTTTTTTTTTTTATATTGAGTCACTTTGCCAGACTGAGACTCCCATGTGGCCAAATAACACCTTCCTATTACTGGCACTTTATAAATAACTTTTACGTTTCCCTTTCCTCAGCTCCACACGACAGTACCCCCTGGCCTTGGGGTCCCCTCCTACATTTCATCCCTGTAGCCGGTTGGTTTTCCCTAAGAAGAGGACCAGAGCACCAAATGCTTTCCCCTTTATGCATGTTTCTTGCATTGCTCATTCCTTCTTCACCTGAAACTTCCATCTCGTTTTTGCAGCTCAGCTCTTTTCAGCCTCACATACTTGGTAGAACTGGGCCAGTTTGGTTTGATGGCACCATGATTAATCCCTGGGAGTGCTGCCATTGGTGGGCAGCAGGCCTTTTCACCCCCAGAGACACGTGTGTTTGCATGAAATTCATTAAATTCTTTGTGCCAGATGCCACCAGCTATGTGGGAGGAGGACTTGGCATTTGACACAGCTGTGGACAAGCCTCTGTCTCCAGCATGCCTGTTCTTGGCGGTCAGAAGTCATTTTCCTCAGTGCTAGTGGAGATATAGATAGGAGGAATTCATCATTGCCTGTTTTTTAGTGGATAGTTGAAATGATTCCTCATTTCTGCTGTGTTTTGGTTCAAGAAGCAGGAGTAGACGCTCAGAGCTGGAGCAGCCCACCAGCTTACAAACCCAGCTCCCATTGCCAGTGAGAGCTTGAAGGACCAGAGCTTGTGGCTTCCTACACAAGTGTTTGCACTGATGCAAAGCTGGCGGTCAGTTCTTCCTTACCAAGTTACATCTCCACTATTCAGTGTTGGCTGACAAACAACCGCTTCCACGTTGTTTTGGCAGTGTAGGGGCTCTATCTTGCCAAAATGCGTGGCAGGATGGCAGGCAGGTCTCAGTGTGGATATGTCCCTGCCCACCGGGTCTTGTAGAGGTCATCTGGAAAGTAAATACCTTGGGGTAGGTGTGGTGGTGTCTCCGCTTTGGGAAGGTGGATGCATTACCCAAAGGAGAGATGAGTTTCCTGAAATGCAGTAGGGCTTATGGGCCTTCATTTTGCTAAATCCCATCCATACTGAGTAGAGGAGGCTGCTTCTGGGCTTCACTCTTTAAAAGCAAAAGCAGGCCTTTGAAGAGAAATACAAACCATCTTATTCCTGTCAAAAATAAAAGGCAAAAGGGAAATGGCTTGCTCAAGCTCAAGCCCCAGTAAGGTGGGGCTGGAAAATGAGCCCAGCTCTCCTGGAGCTCAGGTGTTGGATGTGACCTGTGAGGCACATCTCCTTGATGGACCCACTCTGGCACAGGGTTATCCTATGGGGTGGCTGGTGGACCTCTCTGCAACATGTGTTCATCTGAGAGGAGTGCTGTCCTGTCCCCTGATCGGCTGCTGCTGAGGAACAAAACATAGTGGAGATAAAATATTTGAAGTAAAGGGAGTACACTATATATAACCCTTCCCCTCCTTGTCCCTGTGCATTAACATATTTAATATAATGATGAGTTCTCTGCCAAAATTCCTCAAATTATTATGTCTAAGGATTGAAAATCTTAGAAAATAGTCTCGGAGGGGACCTCAAGAGGTCTGATCCATCCCTAGGGCAGGATCAGCTCGATCTGAACTGTTCTTGACACGTCCTTGTCCAGTCTCCAACGGCAGAGCCTCCACCCCTTCCCCAGGCAATCTAGTCCAGCACTTCGCTCTTCCCAACCCCCCCCAATTTATCCTCCTGATTTCCTTGCTGCAATTTTAGGCTCATTCCTTCCTCCCTATGCACAGCAGACCCAGAGCACATCTACGCTGTATTTATTCTCCAATTCCAGTTTCATGCTGATCAAGCTGTCACGTTCACTGGAGTCATCTTTGATTTTTACCTTGTTGCAAGCATACTGTTCGCTCGGTGGATTTATGGCTTGTGAGAGGCATGAGGGTGTTCACCCTGCGGCCCTAACACCTCTTTGCAGAGCAGATAAAGCACAGCAGCGCAGCTTTCATACTCACGTGTTCCTTCCTTGTGTTGGGTGGTGGTGGTGATCGTTTCCTTCTTGGCTTCTTCATGGGGACCACCAATGTGGGCTAATTTTAAGAGCCATGCTAGCGCTGGCTTTTGTAGCACGTCTTATATTGCTCCTTTACCCTGTTTTCTGCAGGATTTGGGAATGGAGTCAACCTCTCTGGATGATGTCCTCTATCGATACGCCAGCTTTCGAAACCTGGTGGATCCGATCACTCATGACTTGATCATCAGCCTTGCTAGATACATCCACTGCCCCAAACCGGTATGTACCATGGACTCATTACACCTCCATAACTGTGCTGTCTTGGGAAACCGTTCTGCTGGGAGAATGGAGCTCACCTCTGAGTTCCAGGGAAAAAGTCTGCTGGTTACTGCTGTGCTTGTGTGTCTTTGGACAGAGAGGACCTGCTCAGAAATCGTGGTTTGGTTGCACAGTATCGGGCTTTTCAGCTGGCCAAGTGACGTTCACCTAATGTTAGTACTTTGGCTGTTAGCACTCTGTTTTGCAAATGATTTCTGCTTTCTGCCACTTTTTTTTGTGTGTGTTAAAGACCTTACCCCATCAGGAACACTTTCTGCCTCGCAAGGGTAACAGACCGTTCCTCACCTTTGTGCGATATTTATCATGACACCAAATGACGAGAGAGTCCTTGGCTGTGCCTTCAAGGCCAGGTTCCCAAAAAAAGCACAGCCTCCATGGACTGCTGTTTAGGCTCGGACATGAGCAGGTTTCTCTGTCAGCGCAGCACCAGGCAGATGTGGGCTTCTAAAACTCTCAGCCCCGTTTGCTCACTGGCGGCTATAGCAGCATAGGGCTTTTGAAAATCCCAGGCTGACTCCCTTCCCTTCCTTTCCATGGTAAATGTGACTTTGCGTGGTGGCCGCTGGCTGTTTGGTTAATTAAGGTTTCTTTCCCCGGGCTTTCTTTTAAATAAGCAATATTGTTGGTGTCTGATTTGCAGAGCAGCGTAGGCTTGGAAAGGTATAAAATGTCTGATCTCTCAAAACACGCTGGTTGAGGAGGAAGAGGGGTAAGAGAGAAGACCAAAAGCTACCAGATGGTGATCATAGGAGATGTAGGTGGCATCAGATCTCTGGGGATTTTTGAGCTCTTAGTCGCCCTGTGCTGCAGTTCCCTACCTGTAATTTTGGGAGGACGGCACAGCTCTGCTAAATCGGTGTGATGTGTCCTGGCACTATAGTCATGGTGACATGTCGTGCACCAAAGATGAATCATTTGCAAGCATCTAAGATATGCACCTTTCAGAGGAAATACCTTTCCTCTGCAAAGCACTGTGCAGGCTGTAGTTGGTGATGCTCCCTCGACTCCTCTTGAAACTCCCCGGAATGGGCTTCCTCCTAAAGAGACATTTCTGTCCGTGTTTCATCTTGCCTGGTACAGGTCAGAGTGTGGTGGGGGAGCTGAAGGCTCATCTATCATGGTTGTGTTTTTCTTCTCCCCTGCACATTGCTTGTCAGGAATTAAGGTTGCATTTAAAACAAATTATGTGAATTGTAGGAAGAGGCTGAGTGATGTTTTCCGGTAAGCCCGAAGGAGGGTTTGCAGAGCTTCCTGATGGGACATCTTCATTGTAACAGCTTCCCTGGGAGTGTGGGAGCTGTGTGGCTTCCCTGAACTTGCTGTCTGGAACCAATAAGCTACCAAAAAGTTCACTTTGAGCAAAAAGGAAGCCCTTACACCCCCATAAACTGTGTTTGGCTCTGGTCACGCTTGCAGATGTGATGGAGTTCTGTTTGAGGGCCACCAGGAACCACCTCCCAGGCCGTGTTATTCCAAACACTCTCCTTCCCCATCCTCCAAACCCTTCCCATGCCTTTTTGTCCTTGGGAAAGAGCTGCCTGGAGCAGCGCCATGGCATCAATCATCCAGGTTCATTACTGCACATAAGACTTCATACGCTGACGTAACCTGGAGCGGGGAGGAGAGGTGCAAATGCCCCAGGCAGGGTGCATACCTGATGTTTGTGGGTCCATCCCCTGTGATGCAGAGGGGTGCAGCCCCTCCTGCAGCCCTCCTGGAAGGCAGCACCACCAATGTCCCAGGCATGTCTCAAGGGGGGCATCTGAGCAAGACCCAGTCCCCGTTGGGGATCACACGGTGAACCCCAGATATTTTTCGCGGTGTGTGTATCTCCCAGCAGGTCCCAGCGAGCTCATCAGGCCTCTGAATTTCTGCCAGGAGCACACTTGTTGCACTCTGTATCCTTGGATTTTGTTGGGGGGGGGTGGTTTGTTCGTTTTTCCCTCCTGGAGACAGCAAGCTCAGAGCTAGCTCATCTGTTCTCATCTCTGCTGCTGAACTGCAAGGTGCTTACCCATCTCATGCCTCCTTTTGATTTGCCTGTGGCATTTTTAAGCTCTTCTTGGGAAGGGACAGTCCATAGGTATGATGTGCCCGGTGTGATATGGCAGGGGTCCTTGCTGGGACCTGGAGGCATCGCTTTCCTGTACTTACTGCTAATAATGGGTCTTTAATTTCCTGTAAGAGTGTATGAAGGGATAGAGTCATTCACTGCTGTTTCTTGGGAACGTTTTACTTAATAATAGCCTCCACCGCTATTTAAAAATGAGGAAATTAGTTTTTTGAAATACTTAAACATTTCTTTAATTTTGCTGAGGAAAAGCTGCAGTGATGCTCGGGGTGTGTTTGCCTGGACTACGGTGTGAAACTGGCTCTGGGAGTGCTTCATAAAACTCTCTACACTCAATAAACCGTGTTGGGAGGGGTGGAGCGAGTGCAGCAGCGTGCAGACATGGCTCGGGGACATCAGGGACCCAAATCTCTCTCTCTAGACCGAGGATGTCCCATGTCCTACAGCATGAGCTCAAGATACAGACACATCCCTGTGCCGCATAGCTAAACCCCTGCAAGGATACCAATATATCCCTTTCCCTTTTCTTATGGAGAATGAGATCCTCTCCTCTCTCCTCCCCCATGGGGCAATGAGATGGGAAACTGGAGAAACCTATTTTGACGGGCGTGTTTCCAGGCAGAGAGGCCCCGTTCCCCAGCTGAGGTTACCCTTTTCCAAAGCATCGTGACTAAACTGGTTTCTCCTCCACGTTTTGCCCTGGGAGACTAATGGTGAGCTGCGGCCAAGTGTGCGCTCTGCACTCCTTGTAAAAATAACCCGACGCCGCTGATGCAACGGCGAACTGCTACACTGTCGAATACCTGCTTTTGCATGTCTCCCTGCACGTTTCTTTTGGCACTAAATGCTGCGAAGAAGTTAGTGCCAGTGTAAGCATAGAGATGCAAACTCCTAATACTGAATCATGGGCTTCTAGCAAACTGTGGTGGTAAAACATGCAATAGCAAACCCCAATAAGTCCAGCCCATGCAGCACTGAGGCTCTTCTTCTGCATGAGATGCTGCTTGTTGGATGCACTTGGGTCCTCCCCCCGTCCTTTGCACAGCTCGGGGTTTGCACCACGCCATGCAGTTGCTTTGGTGCTGGAGCGAGGGACGGTTTCTCCGGGCCAGCGGTCCCTTACGAGGCTGCTGCGGCAAATGCTGGCAGGTGGCAAGTGTTCGCATGAGAGCGGCGACAGCTGTATTAATACAGCAAAGAAAACATCACCATATTCTGCCGTGCAGCGAGGCGCTCCATCAGGGATCCTCAGGGGCTCACAGACAGTTGCTAAGCCCTGGAGCATCCCTGGGAGATTGATGGGTGTTGCCTTGGGGAGGGAAGCAGGGGCTGCGCAGGTGACAAGTCCAGCAATAGCAGGACTGTGCTGCAGCTCCTGGTCTGTGACTTAGCCTTGCTTGGGCTTTAGGTGCCACCAGCTGTGCTTTAAACCCTCTTTGTTTTGGCAGCTCAGGGTGCTGGGTGAAAAGTAATTTCATCCCAGTGTTTGGCTGTGATTTTCTGAGACGCTGATTTTCTTTATGTCCCCAAAAACCTGCATGCCTTAGTCACCTGGGTTATTTTCCAGCATCCAGTCCGCCTTTCCCCCAGACCT